TTTTTTTTGGAATTTGGGGATTTTTGGGATTGGATTTTTTGGGAATTCGGGGATTTTTGGGGGATTTTTTGGGATTGGGAATTTTTGGGAATTTGGGGATTTTTGGGATCGGATTTTTTTTGGAATTTGGGGATTTTTGGGATTGGATTTTTTGGGAATTCGGGGATTTTTTGGGGATTTTTGGGGGATTTGGGGGGGATTTTTGGGATTGGGAATTTTTGGGAATTTGGGGATTTTTGGGATTGGATTTTTTGGGAATTTCGGGGGGATTGTGTTTTTTGGAATTTGGGGATTTTGGGATTTTTGGGATTGGAATTTTGGGGGGAATTTGGAGATTTTTTGGGGAATTTTGGGATTTTTGGGATTGGATTTTTTGGGAATTCTGGGATTTTTTGGGATTGGATTTTTTTAGGAATTTGGGGATTTTTTGGGGATTTTTGGGATTGGACTTTTTGGGGATTTGGGGATTTTTTGGGAATTTGGGGATTTTTAGGATTCTTGGGGAATTTGGGGAGTTTTGGGAATGGATTTTTGGGGGATTTTTGGGGGGAATTTGGGAATTTTCGGAGGGAATTTTGGGATTTTGGGATTGGATTTTTGGGGGGATTTGGGGATTTTTTGGGAATTTGGGGAGTTTTGGGATTGGATTTTTGGGGGGAATTTGGGGATTTTGGGGATTGGATTTTTTGGGGATTTTTGGGGGATTCGGGGAATTTTGGGATTGGGAATTTTTGGGAATTTTGGGGATTTTTGGGATCGAATTTTTTGGGAATTTGGGGGGATTGGGTTTTTTTGGAATTCGGGGATTTTTGGATTTTTTGGGGAATTTGGGATTTTTTTATTTTTTGGGAATTTGGGGTATCTGGGATTGGATTTTTTGGGAATTTGGAGGTTTTTGGGGAATTCAGGGATTTTTTGGGATTGGATTTTTTTTTGGAATTTGGGGATTTTTGGGATTCTTGGGGAATTTGGGGAGTTTTGGATTTTTGGGGAATTTGGGGAGTTTTGGGAATGGATTTTTGGGGGGAATTTGGGGATTTTTGGGATTGGATTTTTTGGGAATTTTGGGATTTTTTGGGATTGGATTTTTTGGGAATTTTGGGATTTTTTGGGATTGGGTTTTTTTGGGAATTTGGGGATTTTTGGGGGGAATTTGGGGTATCTGGGATTGGATTTTTTGGGAATTTGGGGTTTTTTTGGGAATTTGGGGATTTTTTTGGGATTTTTGGGTTGGAGTTTTTGGGAATTTGGGGATTTTGGGGATTGGATTTTTTGGGAATTTGGGATCCCAATCCCGGATTTTTCCCCTCAGGCTCTCCCCGCTTCCCAGCCCGGATTTTCGGGCGGGATCGGCGCTTCTGGAGGAGGCTCCTCCCGCTGGAATTCCGGAGCCTTTCCCGCTTGGCTTCCCAGGAAATCCTGGCCTCCAGGTGAGGGAAAAACCGGGAAAACCTCGGGAAAAACCTCTGGAAAAACCTCTGGAAAACCTCTGGAAAACCTCGGGAATTTCAGCGATTTTATCGGGATTTTATTGGGATTTTATTTCTGGAATGAATAAAGGAACGGGAAAAATTCCTGGGATTGGAGCTTGGAGTTGTTTTCCTTAAAAAAAAATTGGGAAAGATCTTGAAAAAATGGGGAAAATGCTAAAAAATTGGGAAAAATCATTAAAAGAACTGGGAAAAAATAATTTAAAAAATCGGGAAAAATCATTTAAAAAGTGGGAAAATCCTTTAAAAAATGGGGAAAATCTAAAAAAAAAAAAAGTGGGAAAAGTCCTAAAAAAACCAGGAAAAATTGTAAAAAGAAATGGGGAAGTCCTTAAAAAAAATGGGGAAAATGCTGGAAAAATGGAAAAATCCTAAAAAAAAAGGGAAAAGTCCTAAAAAAACTGGGAGAAGTCGTAAAAAAAAATTGGGAAAAATCCTTAAAACAAAATTGGGAAAAATCTTTGAAAAATGAGAAAAATCTAAAAAAAAAAAAAGTGGGAAAAGTCCTAAAAAACCAGGAAAAATCATAGGAAAAAAATGGGAAAAATCCTGAAAAAAAGTTGGGAAAAATAATTTTAAAAATTGGGAAAATCCTTAAAAAAAAATGGGAAAATTCTTAAAAAATGGGAAAGATCCTAAAAAAACCCAGGGAAAATTGTAGAAAAAAGAAAGGGAAAATCTTTTAAAAAAATAGGAAAAATCCTGAGAAAAAGTTGGGAAAATGCTAAAAAAAAAATGGGGAAAATCTATAAAAAATTGGGAAAGTCCTTAAAAAAATGGGAAAAAATCCTTAAAAAAATGGGAAAAAATCCTTTAAAAAATGGGAAAAAACTAAAAAAAAAAAAAGTGGGAAAAGTCCTAAAAAACCAGGAAAAATCATAGGAAAAAAATGGGAAAAATCCTTAAAAAAAATGGGAAAAATCTTTGAAAAATTGAGAAAATCTAAAAAAAAAAATTATTAAAAAATGGGGGAAATTCAAAAAAAATGGGGAAAAGCCTGAAAGAAAAAAATGGGAAAAATCCTGAAAAAAAGTTGGGAAAAATGCTAAAAAAAATTGGGAAAATCCTGAAAAAAATTGGGAAAAATAATTTAAAAAATTGGGAAAATCCTTAAAAAAAAAATGTGAAAAAATCTTAAAAAGTGGGAAAAATCCTAAAAAAACCCAGGAAAAATTGTAAAAAAAAAGGGAAAATTCTTAAAAAAAAAGGGGAAAATGCTGAAAAAAATGGGGAAATCCTGAAAAATAACCAGGGAAAATCCTAAAAAAAATATAAAAAATAAAAAAAGGAAAATCTTTTAAAAAAATGGGAAAAATCCTGAAAAAAAGTTGGGGAAAATGCTAAAAAAAATGGGAAAATCCTGAAAAAAGGGAAAAATCCTTAAAAAAAAATGAGGATTAAAAAAAAAGTAAAAGTCCTAAAAAAAATTTGGAAAATCCTTAAAAATTATGGGAAAAATCTTTGAAAAATGGAAAAAATCTTAAAAAAAATTATTAGGAAAAGTCATTAAAAAAATGGGGAAAAGCCTAAAAAAATGGGAAAATCCAAAAAAAAATGGGAAAATTCCTAAAATATTGAGAAAATCCTAAAAAAGGGGGAAAATCCTGGGAAAATGGGGAAATCCTAAAAAAGACAGGAAAAAACCAAAAAGAAATGGGTGAAATCCTGAAAAAAATGGGGACTATCCTAAAAAAATTGGGAAAATCCTAAAAAAAAATGGGAAAAATCCTAAAAAAACCAGGAAAAATTAAAAAAAAAACAGGAAAAATCCTAAAAAAATGGGGAAAATCCTGAAAAAAACAAAAGGTGGAAAATCCTGAAAAAAACCAGGAAAAATCCTAAAAATAAAATGGGGAAAATCCTGAAAAAAGAGAAAAATTCTAAAAAAAAATGGGGAAAATCTTGAAAAAAAATGGGGAACATCCTGAAAAAATGGGGAAAATCACTAAAAAATTGGGGAAAATTGTAAAAAATTGGGAAAATCCTACTAAAAAAATTGGGAAATTCTAAAAAAAATGGGGAAAATCTTTAAAATATGGGGAAAATGTTGAAGAAAATGGGAAAAATCCTGAAGAAATTGGAAAAATCCTGAAAAAATGGAAAATTCCGGAAAGAAATCGGGAAAATCCTAAAAAAAAGGGGAAAATCCTTTAAAAAAATGGGAAATATCTTTTAAAAATGGGAAAAATCTTTAAAAACAAAGTAGGAATAGTCCTAAAAAAATGGGAAAAATCCTAAAAACATGAGAAAATCCTAAAAAATGGGGAGAAAAAAAAAAGGGAAAAATATAAAAAAAAAAAAAGGAGGAAATCCTGAAAAAAATGGGAAAAATCCTGAAAAATTGGTGAATATCCTAAAAAAAATGGGGAAAATCCTATAAAAAATGGGGAAAAATCAAAAAAAGTGGGAAAAATCCTTGGATTCTGATCCCAGAGTTCTCTTCCCAAAAAAAATAAAAGGAGAAAAAATTTTAGAAGCCAAAAAATAAAAAAAAGAAACAGCTGGAAAAATCCTTGGATTCCAAGCCTGGAATTTTTGTTTTCCCTACAAAAAATAGGGAAAAATCCTAAAAAAAAAAGGGAAAAATTTTTGACTTCCAAAAAAAAAAAAAAATCTGGAAAAATCCTTGGATTCCTTGGGGAATTTGGTCCTGGAAATTTGATTTATCCCCGGAAAAAAAGCGACTTTTTTTTTTTTTGGAAAAGGAATTTTATTCCCAAAAAATTTGGATTTGATCTCCAGAAAAGGGAATTTGGTCCTGGAAAAAATGTTTGGAGTTCCTGGAAAAGGGGATTTGATCCCTCAATTTTATCAAAAATCCCAAAATTCCAAAAAAAAGTTCCAAAATCCCATCCCAGATTCCCAAATTCCCAATCCCAAACCATTAAAATCCAGTCCCAGATTCCCAAATTCCCAAAAAATCCAATCCCAGTCCCCAAATCCATGAGACTCAAAATAAAACCGGGAATTTTGTTGGAATTCCCAAATTCCCAATCCCAGATTCCCAACCTCGTTCCCAGGCTCCCAAAATCCAAATTTTCCCCCATTTTTTTCCCCATTTTCTGTCAAATTTCCTTAAATTCCCCAATTTTTTCCGGAATTCCAGCATTTTCCCCAAATTCCCTAAAATTTTCTAAATCCAAATCCCAGAATTCCCAAAAATCCAACCCCAGGTTCCCAAAAAAATTCCAAAAACTCCAACCCCAGATGCCCAAAATTCTCAGATTCAAAAAAAAATCGCAAATCCAAGAAAAAAACAGTCTCAAATTCCCAAAAATTCACCAAAATATTCCCAAAAATCCAACCCCAGATTCCCAAAAAAATTGCAAATCCAAAGAATCCAATCCTGAATTCCCAAATCCAATCCTGAATTCCCAAAAATTCCCAAATAAATTCCCAAATCCAATCCTGAATTCCCAAAAATTCCCAAAAAAAATGCCCAAATCCAATCCCAGATTCCCAAATCCCACACGAGACTCAAAAAAAATCAGGAATTTTGCTGGAATTCCCAAAAATCCAATCCCAGATTCCCAAAAAAAATCGCAAATCAAAAAAAACCCAATCCCGAATTCCTAAAAATTCCCCAGAAAATTCCCAAAAATCCAACCCCAGATTCCCAAAAAAATTGCAAATCCAAAAGAATCCAATCCCGAATTCCCAAATCAAAATTTTGGGAATTCAAGATTCCCAAAAATTCCCCAAAAAATTCCCAAATCCAATCCCGGATTCCCCCAAAAATCCAATGCCAGATTCCCAAATTCCCAAAAACCCAACCCCAGATTCCAAAAGGTTGCAAATCCAAAAAAAATCTGATCCTGAATTCCCAAAAATTCCCCAAAAAATTCCCAAATCCAATCCCAGATTCCCAAATCCCACAGGAGAATCAAAATAAAATCAGGAATTTTGTCGGAATTCCCCAATATCCAACCCCAGGCTCCCAAATCCCACGCGAGACTCAAAATAAAATCGGGAATTTTTGTCGGAATTCCCAAGTTTTTCCAGGTCCCGGGAAATCCCGGTGGGAATTCGGCTTCCGGAAGGTTCCGGCTCAGGAGAATTCCCGCAGGAATTGGGCGTGGAAGCGGCGCAGGAGCAGCAGCGCTCGCTCCAGAGCCGGCGGCGGCAGCAGCAGCGACAGCCTGGGAACGGCCCCGGAAATAAATCCCAAAAATCCCCGAATTCCGGAGTCACCAAATCCCAAAAATCCCAAATCCCCAATCCCAAAAATCCCCAAATCCCAAAAATCCCCAAATCCTCAAATCCCCAAATCCCAGAGTCACCAAATCCCCAAATTTCAGTCACCAAATCCCAAATCCTCAAATCCCCAAATTCCGGAGTCCCCAGATCCCAAAAATCCCAAACCCTCAAATCCCATAAATCCCCAAATCCCAAAAATCCCAAATCCTCAAATCCCATAAATCCCCAAATCCCAAAAATCCCAAATCCTCAAATACCCCCATCCCCAAATCCCAAAAATCCCAAATCCTCAAATCCCCAAATTTCAGTCACCAAATCCCAAATCCTCAAATCCCCAAATCCCAAATCCTCAAATCCCCAAATCCCAAATCCTCAAATCCCAAAAATCCCAAATCCTCAAATCCCCAAATCTCAAATCCCAGAGTCACCAAATCCCCAAATCTCAGTCACCAAATCCCAAATCCCCAAATCCCAAAAATCCCAAATCCCCAAATCCCAAAAATCCCAAATCCTCAAATCCCAAAAATCCCAAATCCTCAAATCCCAAAAATCCCAAATCCTCAAATCCCATAAATCCCCAAATCCCAGAGTCACCAAATCCCAAAAATCCCAAATCCTCAAATCCCAATTCCCAGCGTCACCAAATCCCCAAATTTCAGTCACCAAATCCCAAAAATCCCAAATCCCAGAGTCACCAAATCCCAACATCCCAAATCTCTAAATGCCAGCATTCCGAAATCCCAGTCACCAAATTCCAAATCCGAGTCCCCAAATCTCAAATCTCCAAATCCCCAAAT